AAACTAAGAGTAAACTTGTAGTCTTTAGGGACGCTTAGCAATTTTTAGCACTAATCCTGAAATTTAGTTTACAAAACACATTGGTTTGGACTAGTTCACACTGGGTCCCTGGGCCAGCAAACACCTGGATGCATGCTCGGCCCCGAGCTAGTTGGCCAGAACTCTGTCAGGACCCAGGCGGGGAGCTGGAATGCAGGGGGGGTCACTCCTGCTGGCCAGCTGCTGGGCCTCTCCTGCTGCTCATCTTCGGGCCGCTTCTGCCACTGGGTCACCTGGTGGCTAGGCAGCTCCCACCACTGGCCCTTCCTGCTGCTCGGACATTAGGCAGCTCCCCTGCCAGACATCTCCAGCCGCTGGTCTGCTGCATTGCTTGTTGGTTGCTGGGTGGCGCCATGGAGATTCTCCGGGCCTGGGTGTGGTGGCTCCTCGCGGGTCTCTGTGCTGTCTGGCCAGGTGTTGTGGAGGTGTCAGTGTCAGAATGTTGCAGGCCACTGCTGCGTCCTGGAAGCCAAGGCGGCCATCCACGCTGCTGGACGGGGATGGGGAGATGGGGGGAGCGCTTTGCGCGATTTTCCATCCTTATGTGCACAAGTTGGTAGATATTTTTCCCCCATTCCCGTGACTCTCTGCTGTTTACGTATTTGAGGAGAAGGGTGTGGTGGGACCCCACCTCTGTGGTTAGAGAGCGGGGAGCCATTCCCTGTTGTTTGGCTGCCCTCTTACTTCCTCCTGATAGCCTGCCCAGTGTGAACTGTCCAAATCAACCCAGGGTTCCCACTTGTCAGGTGCAAACAGCCCAAGCTGGGGCCATGGCCTGGACAGTCTCTGAACCCAAATGCCTAAATCACAACAAAAGATTACAAGATTCCAGACAACAAATTAATCCAATAGCCAACAACAATCCAGGGAAGGACTCTAGTGAGAATGAAGAAGAGCTGAAAGACAAAAGAAGCATTAGCCAGGCACTGGTGGCTCATGCCTCTAATCCTATCTACTCAGGAGGCTGAGATCTGATGATCGCTGTTCAAAACCAGCCTAGGCAGGAAAGTCCATGAGACTCATCTCCAATTAACCAAAAGAAACCTGGAAGTGGCTCTGTGGCTCTTGCCTTGAGCTTAACAGCTCAGGGACAGCGCCCAGGCCCAGTGTGCAAGCCCCGTGACTGACCAAAAAAAAAAAAAAGGAAAGAGAGAGAGAGAGAGAGAACGAGTTGGTCATATAAAAGGGGGAGCTCTAAAACCAACTTGAAGAGTGCAGAGAAGAAATGACAAAATCCAAGACTCCCAGAAAGATACACAGAGAAAAATAGACAAGCTATACATTGCATTAAACCAGGCCCAAAGAAACATAGGTCACATAGTTTCCCTTATTTGTAATAACTAGTGTATATCTGAGACAGAAATTGTCAGATAAATTGATGTTAGGTGAAATGAACCCCAAGATAAGGACTCAAGTGGTTTTTCTTTCTTGCTATTGTTTCTAACATATTTATAAGATATTTCTTTGTTGCTTTGTATGTCCCTCCTCTATGGTATAACCCCTGTTTTCACTGTATTTGATGTTCATATAATTTGTGGAGGGGAAGGGAAAAAACAAATCGTTTAAATAGGGATACAAGTGGACCCATTGCAACAGTGAGATGTACAAGTCATTATGTCGAAAACTAACTTTACAACTTTGGTGGGGGAGGGGGGGAAGAGGAGGAGTGGGTAGGGGGGAGGATGGGAAGGGGAAACAAAAGAGGAGGCTACAATGCTTGATAAGAAATGTACTCTTTACCCTGCTCATGTTATTGTAATCTTTCTGTACGTTATTTTCATAATAAAAATGAAATGGACACTATGAGAACTGATCTCAGAACTATAAATGGTTTAATTTCCAAATGCAGATCACAGTGGACTCCATAGGTAACAGAATAAGTGAGGTGGAAACAGAATACCAGAAGCTGAGGATAAAAACAGAAGAGATAGAACAAAAAGTCAAAAGTATTAAAAAAAATCATTTAGAACTTACCAAAGAAAAGTCCAGAAAGTGGTAGACTCAGCTAAGAAATCAAATCTACGCATAAGTGTGATTGACAAGAGGGAAGAATTTAATAGTAAAGGCATCAAAAACCTATTCAGTAAAATAATAGCTGAGAATTTCTCCACTTTTTTGGGGGTGAGGGGGTTGGCGGTGGGGCCTGAACTCTGGGCCTGGGCACTGTCCCTCCACTCTTCAGCTCAAGGCTAGGTGCTCTATCACTTGAGCCATAGCACCACTTCTGGCTGTTTTCTGCTTATGTGGTGCTGAGGAATTGAATCCAGGGCCTCATGCATGCAAGGCAAGCCATCTTCCCAGTCCTTCTCCAATCTTAAGAGAAAAAAATCTTGCCTGCTTAACAGAAACATATAGAACCTCTGGTAAACTGGATCCAAGAAGCAACACTTCTAGACACATCATAGTAAAAACATTAGATGTGAACAGGAAGGAGCCAATTTTAAATGCTACAAAATTAAAGAAGAAGCTCTATTACAATGAAAAGAAAATCAGAATCACTGCAGACCTCTCCACACAAACCCTCAATACAAGAAAAGCCTGGAATGGTATAATCCAGTCACTGAAGATCAACAACTGCCAACCCAAACTGCTCTCCCAGCTTGTTGTCACTTACAATAGAAGATGAACCCAAAACCTTCCATGACAAACAAAAATGAAAGGAATTCATGATCACTAAACCAGCATTAAAAAAAAAAATTCTAAAGGGAGGAATGCAATCTGAAGAAAACAATATCAAAGAAATACAAATCAGACAAAAAATCACTAGGAGATTAATTTAGTAAATGCAGGAAGAAGAAAAAAATAAATACAGGAAATCAAGAAAATGGCAGGAAAGAGGACACATCTCTCTATAAGAACCCTAAGCATCAATGGACTCAAATCTCCAATCAAAAGATCAGCAGATCAGATCAAAAAACAAGACCCATCCAATGTTTATATTCTGTTTTTGAATTGATTAAAGCTTCCACAAATTATGTGGAATTATATGTCTTTTAATACATTACCTATATGTCACACTTATTGGATAAATAAAAGATATCAATCTCTGATCTTCGACAAAAGAAATCAGATACAGACATTTGCACAAAATAATATTCCTTTAAGTATAAAGAACGTTCAAGAATGTCACAGAAGCCAAGCGCCAGTGGCTCCCGCCTGTAATCCTAGCTACTCAGGAGGCTGAGCTCTGAGGATCGAGGTTCAAAGCCAGCCTGGGCAGGAAAGTCTGTAAGACTCTTATCTCAAAAAAAAAAAGAAAAGAAAAAAGAAAGAATGTCATAGAGGTTCTTAAGCTAATTTATAAATAGAAAATTACCCTACTGCAAAACAAAATGAAAAAAAAGACAATAAAACCCACATTCAAACCTATCACCTCATTTTATCTTCAACTTTGTTGGAATATAATTATTATTTCCATTATTCAAAAAGGAAAATGCTAGAGCATCTTAGAGGATTTGTCCTTTTTAACAAATTAGTAAGATCCCAGATCATACAGCTAGGAAAATAGCTTTGAGTCCAGGTCTTCTGATTATGCCTCATAAACATCTTCCTACACCAAATGCCTCTGCGTGTGTATGTGTAATCAAAATCCCTATTTACCCACAAAGAACTTCCCATCGATTATTATGAATATACCATGAACATCTAGTTGACCTACTATGTAAACAGGTTTTATGTTCCACATTCCCAGGGTTTTGAGTGAAGACATACAATTTTATTTTGCTGCTGGATTGCCTTTTTCTTTAAGTCATTTGATTAGGATTCCACAGGCATAGACTGACATTAAAAAGCCGTTAACTCTTGATAACTCCAGAGGGCACAACTAATGAAATGTCCCAAAATTTGCACACTTGCCAAAACATCGCATTGCAAATGACAGATCTCGATTAATCACGATGAGAGTATTTCCTCTATCTAAATGAAATCTGTAATTTGAGAAGGAGATTAAAGATCCTTTGGGGGATGAAGAGAAAGTTTCTGTGAAAATTCTGGAAACTAGAAAATAAAGATAGTGCTACTCAATATTCATGAAGTCAGATTGGTGATGCAAATAGAGATTACAATCTCTTATTTTCTAATGACATGGCTTGTAGCATTCCTATATCACTTTTACAAAGACTCCTACTAAACATTAAAGGGAATAACTACAGATTATATAAACTTTTTTTTACAAAATGTTAGCATATCCGATAGAGTTTTCTACCATCTATGAGTAATTTCTAATATTCAAAGATTTATAGTGCATGTGATCAGATATACATATAAATTTTAAACAAGATCTGATATTCAATACAATAAGATATTGATACTTATACTTTATTCCTCTTTTTCATTAGCATATATTAATCGTAGAAAGGGTTTCATTCTGATATTTTCATGCATGACTCTGATGTGATCATTGAAACTTTAAAATTGAAATTCCATTGAATCCAACATACTTTCAAAAGGCAGTTTAAAGAGAATAGTGGTAAATACTGGTTTGGATTTCATTTTTCTTCCTTGAGAAAAAAATATCAAATTTCTTTAGCAAGCCCATTTTTAAAAAGTGTTAGAAAATTTAATTCTTGATGAATTTAATAGAAATCTTTACCCCAAATTCAGTAAAAATCCTCACCTCTTATCTTTTCATATGTAATATTAGAAAAAATAATTCTTTTTTATACATATTTTTATTGTAAAGATACTGTACAGAGGGATTACAGTTACATGAGTAAGATAATAAGTACATTTCCTAAGTGATTCTAAATTCTATGTACACTTTATCTCAGTTTAGTGGTAATGTTGTAGATAAATATTTGTAGGTGGGAAAGAATGGAAACCCTGAGCCATTTTATTTAACCTCCTAACAAGTGGTACAGTGCCTACACAGGTACTTTGTGAAATGCTTATTGCATTCTCTGTTGAGTGACTTAACAATTGAATACATTGTTATTTATGTTTTTCTATTTCTTGTATTTTAGGCTAGTCCTGCTCCTATAATTGTCAACACTGATACTTTGGACACAATTCCTTATGTAAGTAATATTTTTATTAAGCCTTTCTTTATAAACTATGACAGAAAAAATAGTTGCATTTAAAATTCTATAGAGTTTTACCCAATCTAGATAATTTTATAAAATGAGATTAAAAACACATAAATAGTTCTGTTCAAATAATTTTAGTTTGCTAAGCAGCCCATTGGAAAAACACAGAGTTGCTTGTGACAGAAATCAACAGTGGTTTTTGTGTTGTTTCTAAAGAAGTACTTAGAACATTGTGTATACAGCATAGAATGTAAGTAGTGCATAAATATTTGATGGATTAAAAGAACTGGGAGGAGAACTTTTCTGATGATAGAGTATATCTGTATAAAATGAAATATATGGTTTCGTGAAAACAGATTCCTGACCCGCGAAGAAGCACTTAAGCACATAGTACTTAGAATGCTAAGGACTTGCTAACTACTGGCTAGTTGCAGATTTAGACTCAACCTTGACTGCCTGTGGGCATCAAGCAAATAGCCAGCACAAATCAAGCAGGCAGGGCAGGACTTTGAAAAATATAAAGCAGGTGGTCTCCTAAGGAGATAGGGTTCACTTGGGGCCATGTTTCCAGATCATCCATTTTTCAAGAGAAGTTATACACTTGAGTCTTTACATTTGAATAAAACTGGATGCAATTTCTAAATGCAGGCAACTAGTTTTCAACTAGCATATGCCCATCAAATTGTGTCTAGTCTACCAGTAGCTTTTGGGTGGATGTCTACCTCAGAAAAACCAGAGGCCCCAAGTACCTTCTCCAGTAAGGACTAGCCACACGGGAGTAGAATTCTAGAACTAGAGTGGAAGTTTGGGTCTGGATTACAGGAACAACTGTCTAAACTGGGACACAGGGTCAGGACAGGAAGAACACAAGGTTGACTTAATGCTGAATCACCTGAACTACTGAACTAGAAATCTGTAAATTTTTCCAGTGAGGAATAATTTGGAGCCAGACAGGAAATGAGGTAAAACTTACTGGAAGAAATGAAGTAGCCTCGGCTTTGTAAGTAATACACATCAAGGTATTAAAAGCACTAAGTGCCTATGTTGTCCCTATTCCTATCTTCCTTATCAAACATTTATACAAATATTAGCTCAGTTAGTCCTGGGAGCAATTCTGTAAGACAGATCCTATTAATTTCTCTGTTTTAACAATTAGAAAATGGATTCATGAAGAGGTTATATGAATTTCTCAGGACTCACAGTAAAAAGTAGTGCCGGAAGTAAGTGCAGATAGCTTGGCTATGGAGTGTAAAGACATTTGATGGTGCTGGTTTTATGATCCTTCCCTTCCTTTTTCTCTCTTTTGGCTTAAAAAAAACACATTAACTTGAACCTCTGCTGGGAGAACTCTTGGACACAGGGACTTCAAGGACCTCAGAATAAGAACACATGTAGGGTATATATTAAGGTGGTCTGAAATATCAACTAAATTTCTTTAGCATGACCCTTGATGGAGCAGAAGTATGATTTTTAGAAATAGACACACAGCAAGCAGGACCAGTTCCTGTTGTGGACTATTTTTAAATCTTGATGCAATTCTTATAGATGTACTATAAGATGCTCCCATGTGTAGTTCACTTATCATTAAAGTCTAAGCATATTGGACATTCCTAGCTGGCTTTCCAACTTTTTAGTTAAAAAAAATCACATATAGCAAATGAGTCACATTGCTCCCATTCTCCAAAAGATAATGTTTGTACTTGATTTGGGTTCTCCAGTTTTGCATACTTAAGAGTCAGATCTTCAGAGAGGTATGATGGGCAGTGTGGCATGGTATAACTATCCCAGTTTTTATATTATTAAGGAATTAATTTCATTTTTCTGGACCTATATTAATCTATAGAGCAGAAATTATAATAACTACTTTGTAGTAGTTATGGCATTAAGTGAGAGTTTATATATGTCATGCTGGTTCATAGCAATTTCTGGGGTGTGTACGTGTGTGTGTGTGTGTGTGTGTGTGTGTGTGTGTGTGTGTGTGCGCGCTGATAGGAGGGCTTGAACTCAGGGCTCGGACTATCATCCTTAGCTACCCAAGGCTGGTGCTCTACAGATTGAGCCACACCTCCACTTCTGGTTGTTTTGGGTAGTTAATTGGAGATAAAAGTCTCATGGCCTTTTTTCTCAGATTTCAAACCATGATCCTCAGATCTCAGCCTCCTGAGTAGCTAGAATTACAGATGTGAGCCATTAGAACTTGGCCAGCAGATTTAGTATGTGGCTATTAAAGTTCGCTATACCTTTTTTTTGGCATGATTCCAACTCACCCTTTTTTCCTGACTCACTGGGTAACCTTGAACAAGTTACTGTTCCTTTTACAGTCTATTTTCTATTTTCTCATTCCCCAGTGTTCTATATTTTGTTTTCCTTTTTTGTTTCTCATGTTCTACTTGTTCACATAATTTCAGCTCTATTTAATGAAAAAATAATTTCAGAGCTCCCCGGGGCATTTTAGTCGTGTTGCATAAGAACATTTCCTCCTTAAAAATATTACCTGAGTGACAAATTTGAACTTGTATATTAAAATCCTCCCCAAAATAATTTCATTACAAGTCAATGTACTAATTTTGCTGATTAGAAAATTGGATTTTAGATATAAATGGTTCTTATGGAAATCATTTCTTGGCATATATGGAAAGGATAATTGAGTAACAAAAGGAAACTTCTAGGGCTAAAGAAAATTTTTATGTAAGTGTCTAATAAAGATACAGAAGATATTTAAAGTGTTTTTAAGGAAGTTTCATTAAGGGATATTAAAACCCTGATATTAAGGATGTCACAGATTTTTTAAAAATATTTTATTGTAAAGGTGATGTTCAGAGGGGTTACAGTTATATAAGTCAGGTAGTGAGTACGTTTCTTTTTGAACAGTGTCATCCCCTCCCTTATTTTCTCCCAGTTTTTCCCTTCCCAGGTCTCCCCCACACACAAGTTATATAGTTCATTTCAAACATAGTGTCTAGTGAATAGCACTGCTGAATTGGCTTACCTTTTGTCCCATCATTTCTTTGTTTTCCTTTCCATTCCCCACTGAGTGCCTCAAATAAATTCATTGCCCAGCCCAGTCTCTTATGCAAAGCATTTCTACTAAACTTAAAAATTATATCAGCTTCCTATTTTAAAGTTTTCTAGCTTCTCTTTTTTACTCAGACTTTAAATCCATATTTTTATATACTGAATATTGTTTTATGTCCAGAATTGACAGGACAGCCTGCTTTTGATCTGTACATCCAGGTCCCTGAAGGCTGACTAATTAAATGGTAACATATCACCTTGCTGGAGCTGCGCAGCCAATTAACTTGCACCTTTCTCCCCAACAGACTCTTCCTTTCAGTAAGCATGTCAGAGTTCTATACTGAACACTGTCTAACAAACCTCATTCGCTCCGCTTTCTAAAAATAAATTGATCAGAGAAATTCTAGAATCCTTCTTACCCTCCAGCCTTCTCTAATATTCTTTTTCTAGTATTCATTCATTTCAGTTTGGTAAATTTCTTACCTATTTTCTTGAAGTATACTGTGAGGAGTGGTATACTTGACAATCATGCGCTTTAATTCTCATTGAGTGTAATGAATACAAACCTCTGATTTTATAGATAGTTGTTCTAGTTAAACTATTAAATGGCAAAGGGTGTTCTACCATTTATGGATACTTCATGTGATGCCAAAGTTTTGGAGTATAATGAACAATCATGTAATCACTAGCTGATAGCAACAGGCATTTAGTTCTTCTGCACACATTTTGTGATTGGCTAGTGCAACTGCATCGCGCTGAGAAACATTAGGCTGTCTGGAACATCTCTGCTTCACATATTACACTCTGGGGAATAGGAAGTGGGCAGTGGTTTCCCCAGCTGCAACTCATTCTGTCATGTCCAAAGTACAAGATCGCAAGGTCATGACCCAGGCACAGAGCATCTTCTCATGTTAAATTTTCTCATACTCCAAGGGCCACCACAAGCCATTCTGCCAAGCTCAAAGTGGAGGAAGGAGAGAATACCTTAAATACAAAGTAATGCACCATAACAAGACCTTAACTAAAAGGGACAAGAATCTGTACATATCCCTTTACAGGGAAAAAGGCATAAAATCAGGAATCTTACACTTCAAAAATATTCATCTATTAGTGAGACTGAACAATTATGACCTCCAAAGACCAAGGCAATCCATTGAGGCACAGTTTAAGGTGACAGAATTTTATTTACACTATTCACACCAGAAAGGGGGCCTGCGACTACCTTTTCTTGGGCTAGATATCTAGAACCAAGAGCAGCCTTGACCACCAAACCTCCAAGCCTCCAATAGGCAGTCTGACCCTTTATTAGTTGGTCTGCAAACCAATTAATCGGTCTGCAAACCTCCAAACCTCAGACCTCCAAAGTTCCAAACCTCCAAAGAAGAAGGCTTTTACTTTTCTTCCTCCTCCACTGCAGCCCTCTCCACTCTCCCCAGGCCTGCCCTGCTCTGCTCAGGTAGGCGCCTCTCCACAGGCCTCTCTAAAGGAAGGTCCCAAATGGCTTCTGGAGGAGGCCTGCTCTGCCTTCCAGAGCCTGACCTACTCTGCTCCTGTAGGTGCCTCTTGTGGTCTTTCCCCTCTTGCTGTCTCTCTCTCCACCTCTCTCTCTCTCTCCTTCTTCCTCTCTCTCTCCTCTGTCTCTCTCTCTCCTCTCTCTCTCCCCTCTTCTTTCCCTCTCTCTCTCTCCTCCCTCTCTCTCTCTCTCCCCACTCTTCTCTCCCTCTCTCCTTCTCCCTCTCCCCTTCTCCCTCCCCCCCTCTCTGTCTCTCTCTCCACCACCCCCTGCACACCCCAGTCTCTCTCTCCACCTTCCTGTTCCTAACACACAGCCTATATAGGCTGTGCCCCTTTCTCCACTCCAAGGGGTCAACCGCTTAATGGTTTCCAACTGCCATTCATACCCCTCTCCCAAGCTGCCCACTGTCCAATCACTTGTTGACAGCTCACCATGTGGGGCTCGACGCCCCTTCCTCCCA